CATTTCTTCCACTTTTGAGTGATTTACTCCCATCCCAAGATGCAATGGTGGTACAGGCATTAGGTAAACATTCTCATTCCAAAAGGCAGAAATCAGCTGAAAGAAACAAACAACAGGCCCCATGCAAGTCTGAAGCCCAACAGACAGGCATTACATTTTAAAGCTTCATAATGATCTCCCTTGACTCCATGTCCTGCGTTCAGGGCACACTGGTGCAAACAGTAGGCTCCCAAGGCCTCTGGACTTCTCTACCCCTGTGGCTGCTCTCATGGTGGGAGTTGAGTGCCTGTGGCTTTTCCGGGCACACAGTACAAGCTGGCTAGTGGCTCTCCTATTCTAGGGTATGGAGGGTGGTGGTCTCCTTTCCAAGCTCCATTAGGCATTGGCCCAGCGGGGCTTTAGGTGGCCTCTAACCCCACATTTCCCCTTGGCACTGCCCTACTAGGGTTTCTCTGTGGGGATTCTGCCCCAGTGGCAGGCTTCTATCTGGATATCCGGGCTTTCACATACATCCTTTAAAATCTAGGTGAAAGCAGCCAAACCTCCTTCACTCTTGCATTCCATGTGCTGACAGACTTTACACCACTTGGAAGCCACCAAGGTATAAGGCTTGCATCCTCTGAAGCAGCACCCGAAGCTGTACTTGATGTGCTTTGAGCCATGGCTGGAGCTGGAACAGCCAGGGATGTTGGAAGCAGTGTCCCAAGACTGTACAGGGAAGCGGTGCCCTAGCCCCAAAACCATTCTTTCCTCCTAAGCCACTGGACCTGTGATGGGAGGGGCTGCCTCAAAAATCTGAAATGTCTCAAGGCTTTTTTCCCATTGTATTGATTATCAGCACTGGTTCCCTTTTCTCTCTAGCAACTGGTTGCTCTTTAGGCCCCTTTGATTCCTTCTCTACTACAAGGCAAGGCTGCAAATTTTTCAAAATTTTATGCTCTGCTTTTCTTTTAAATATAAGTTTCAACTTTTAGTCACTCATTTGCCCCCACATCTGTTTGTAGGTTGTTAGAAGCAGCCACACCATGTCTCTAGAAATTTGCTCCTTAGAAATTTCTCCTGCCTGATACCCTAAGACAGCACTCCTAAGTTCAACCTTCCACAAATCCCTAGAGCATGGGAACAGTGCAGCCAAGTTCTATGCTAAGGTGTAACAAGGGTGACCTTTTCTCTAGTTCCCAATAACTTTCTCATTTCTATCTGAGATCTCATCAGCCTGGCCTTCTCTGTCCGTATCTCTATCAGCATTTTGGCCAAAACCATTTAACAAGTCTGTAAGAATTTCCAAACTTTCCCTCATTTTCCTGTCTTCTTCTGAGCCCTCCAAACTCTACAGGCTGTACAAGAAGCATGTGGTAGCATCTGCTTCCAGGAAGCTTCCACTCATGGTGGAGGCAAAGGGGAGCAGGCATCACATGGCAAGAAAGGGAGGAGAGAGGAAGGAGGTGCCAGACTCTTAAACAATTAGCTGTCATGTGAACTCAGTGAGAACTCACTCATTACCACAAGAAGGGCACCAAGCTATTCATGAGGGATCTGTCCCCATGACCCAGACACCTCCCACCGGATCCTACCTCCAACACTGGGGATCACACTTCCACATGAGATTTGGAGGGGACACACATCCAAACCATATGCGTGACTATCTCAGGTTATGTAAGTATTATCAGGAGAGGTTGGGTGCAGGGTATGTAGGAACTCTCTCTGTTGACTTTGAAACTTTTCCGAAGTCTAAAATTATTCCCAAATAAAATGTTAAAAGATTGTCTTACCCCAATCTGGAAAGGAGGATAGCAAAACAGATGTTCCATCTTCCTTTTTAAATCCAGTAAGTGTATTTTGTTATTAGAAAAAAAATACAGAAATGAGAAGGATAGCAAAACAGATGTTCCATCTTTCGTCTTAATCTAGTAAGTGTATTTTGTTATTAGAAAAAAATACAGAAAGTAATGACAAATTACGTGAGTGGGCTAAATGTCCTTCCGAAGAGATGAGTCATTGGATAGGTCAGGATCCTGGTAGGAGAGAGGGGATATACAAGTGGGCAGTGAGCAGAGTTTCAGGAAGGGTTCATTCAGGAAACCAAGAAGAGGCGGCAAAGCACCCCAGGACTCACACCCACAGGGAGTGAGTATCACTCCAGTTCTCAAGGGGCAGAGGGAGGAAGGGCCGTTTCCAGATCCTGGCGGGTGGGGTTGGGGCTGTGCGTGTAGCTGTAGGTGAAGGCTAACCCACTGGAGCTGTGAGTTTAGGTGGAAGATCACAGCCCCTGCCCCATAGGAAGGGTGCAGTGGTCACACACCCCAGTCTCACTCACTGTTGGGCCTCCAGTGCGGTTCTGGCTCCCCATTGGCCAGAACCAACCAGAAGTGAAAGGGCAAGGGTGGTGTGTTGAGCTTGTTGATGTCATCCTCACAGGGCAGCCTCGCAGGCCCAGAGCTGGTGGAGGGGAGAGCAGGCCCGAGGCATGCATGGAGAATACCCAGCGCTGGCACCCCAAGTTGGTGAAAGCAGGCTGTTTTACATAGACAGTAAGGAAAGGCTTAGAAAATCTAGAACGGAGACAGGATCCTGTGGGATTTTTTGTAAAAGCCTGGAATTGTCCAATTCAAAGAAGTTTTTTTAAAAAATCAATGAAATCTAAATGCACATTGAGGAAGGGCCTCTGTGAAACCCTTCTGTTGAGGAAAATCTGGGTTGCTCTCCATAAATGCTCCTGCCTCTCACTGGTTTTCTCTTTGAACTCTTCATCCCTATTCAGACTGGCCCCATGCCTGCAGCTATTTCCCCTGATAACTCTAGGACCTCCATTCCAGGGCAGAAAAATGCCCCTACCTGATGGAGACATGCTCCCCGAGAGCCCCCTTGTGGGTGGTGACAAACACTCCTTCCTTGACCAAACCCAAGTCAGGCTTCTCTGAGCTGTCTTCTCCACTTGCCTGCTGGCTCTGCTCTAGAGAAGAGCCCTGCTAAGCTGGTTTACTGGAAATCCCCTACCCTGATATCCAGCCAGGCTCTTTTTCTCCACTCTTGGTATCTGATCACGGTGCTCCCCCCATCCTTGATAGCCAACTGAATTCACTTAATTTCATTGGCTGCCTTGCCCTGCACATTGGCTCTTCACCCTCAGTTATCCCTGTAGTGCTCAGCGTTGACTTCACTCTTTCTCCCCCATGGCAGTAGTCTTGGAGGAGGTCCTCTTTGCTGTTTTTGACAAGCGTCAGGATTGTTTCTCTTAGGCAGTGGTCTGTGTTCCTCCACCCAAACCCACAGCTCCCGTGGCTCCTGCTGTCCTGGCATGCTGCTTCCTGTCTGTCCCATCTCACCTCCTTCCCTCTTCATCACCAGCTTAGTCAGTCCCCTACAGTTCTGGGAAACGTAGTGTTCGGTGGTCTTCTCTGTACTAAATCCCACCACCATCCTGGAAGGTGAGTCACAGGCTGAGTCACAGGGATGACTCATCCAAAACCCAAGCCTCCAAGTTTTTGGACGGCTCAGCTCTGGTGAGTGCCACCTTCAGTCCACTTCAGCCACCCTGGCCCTGAAATACTCTGGACACTCTGAAATCTTAATCCCTTTACACCCTACATCTTGCCATACTTCTTCCCCTCCCATGTCTCTCTCTCCCACCTCTGTGGATGTCTGAGCTCCTCATCCTCCTGCCCTCACTGCTTTACCTCTTGGTCTCACTTCCTGCTTTGTGCAGCCTTCGCTCAGTGACGCCAGGGATGGACTCAGGCTCACATGCATAGCAAGGGCCAGGCTGCCATGTGGGCTGTACAGGCTATAGATGTGTACATTTATTTTAACCATTTTATAGATGATAAATATTTTGAGAAAGTATCTTTTCTGACTCATACTCAGAAATCATATGGGCCAGCACATATCCCTTATCTGATAAGATCAGCACCCAGGTTGGAGCTGGATGATTAATAGAAAACATGAGATGAAGCAGCAGACAGGCACACTTAGGTCCCAGTGAACACACGGTGCAGCTGCAGAGCAGAAGAGGGGGTGAGTTATTGGCTATGCGTGCTCATCACGCCCTGGGCTCTGCTGTGTCTCTGCCCTGCCTCCTTCCCTTACTGTTCAAACAGGGACACCTGTGGTGGGTGTCGTATCTACTCAACAAGAGTGGACTAAGGCCTACCCACAGTCAGGTTCCGTGTCCCAGATGTCAATCGTGAAGACAAAAAGGCTCCCCTTCTCTGTGAAAAGAAAATGAATTATCAAGTGTTAGTAGTAGACGCATTATTATATTTTTCTCCTTGGAGTTCAGGAACTTAATGAACTGAGTTTAAGGAATCTAGGAAAATATATTTGCTTTGAAAACTTTTCTTATTTATGTCTTGAATTTTGTTGGTAATTGTTATGCTGTTAGGAGCCAAAAACCATTTTTAAAGGAGAAAGTCGTATTTACGATCTCTCTTTTTTATCCTAAGAGAAGAGAGACTTATATGTGTTCCTTAAATGGGATGATTTTGCCGAGGTGACATTGAGGGGATTGGTGGTCATTGGAGATAAGGCTAGCTTCAGGGTAGAGGAGGGTGTTGTAGGTGGCAAGGGGACCTGGCCACAGACTGGGCTTCACAGTAGGAGGCCTTGACTGAGGTCTGCACATGAGTTTGAGAGCTAGAAATGGCCTTGAAATTGCTAACATGCATGTCTGTGTGTGTGCATGCATGTGTGCCTCTATGCATTGTGCGTGGCTATGTGTGCCTGTGTGTACCGCTGTGTGTGCAGTCATATACTTGCATGGTCATGGAGGACTGGTCCATGACCCCCATCCAGTTCTCAAAGGGGTCTGTGCCCTAACGTTTCTCCCCAGTCCCCATATAAGAAGGCCAGTTTGCTGTTTGGAAAGCTGAGCAGAGTAATTTTTCTGACGCTGATGAAATGGTATTCGTTGATTTCTCCTCAGAGAGACTGCCTTTTCCAGGAAGGGTTGACCTGGCTTTGGACCTACCAGTCCTACCTTTGTCCTTTTCTCTTCATTCTAGGCCAACACTGGACAAATTGATGACCCCCAGGAGCAGCACAGAGTCATCAGCAGCAACCTGGCCCTCATCCAGGTGAGTCTCCACCTTGTCCGACCTCCCTTCTGAATCTGCAGCCAGGCTTGCCCAGGTGGGAAGGGTGAAGCCTAGTGAGCTCTCGACTCTGCACTCTGGCCTGAACTTTGAGAACAGGTAGCTACCTGTCCCTCCCATATCCAATAGACCACACTCACGCAGCTTCTGGAGGCTCAGCCCACCTGAAGCAGACCCAGGGTCCCTCCAGCTTCCCCACTCCCTCCTTTCCAAGCCCCACTTCTTGAAAGACTCACCTGTACTTGCTCCTTCTTTGTCTCATGGCCTGCACAGTACTAACAGGCTTCTCTTTCCTCCAATCGTGCTTCCCAGGCCACAGGTGTTCCCCTGACTGAGGCAGCCTGTGATTGCCTCTTTCATGTGATCTTACTTTTTCTGGGCATCTGTGGATCCTTCCTGCCTGGAAATCCTCCCTTGGCTCTGCTCCTGCCTCTCTGCCTGGTCCTTCTCAGCCTGCAAGAGACATCTTAACCCCTAAGCTGCTTCATGCTCCTCATTCACACATCCTTCTCCCAGGTCCCAGTTCTGCTAAGCTTTTTTCCTGGGACCTTGCCACAGAGTGTCACTAAGTTAGGAGGCCCAAGGCAGGGGGAGATGAGGAAGAGATTGGCTGAGAGGCAAGAGGAGAGGCTGGGCCTGGACATAGACTGGAGGTAGCTTTATCCTAGAACCTTCTGGGCATCTCTGGGTAGGGGTGGTCTGTGGCAGCACTGAGAATATGGACCGTGAGATCAGGCAGCCCATCGTCTATCCACTGGATAGCCTTGATCAGGGCTGACTCCCCCTGTCCATCACTTTAGGATGATACCTACTTTATCCCTCACCTGGGTTCCAGAACCAGTACATCTAACTCTACAGGGCATCTCCATCTGCCTATCCCCAAGGCACCCCCAAAACAGCCAAGTCTGGCCTCATTATCTTCTCTGCCCATACTCACCTCTGCTAAAGTCCCCAACTCAGTCTAGTCTGATGGTTGAAAGCTCACTTTGAGAATCAGCCCACTGAGGGGCCTCAGGCAAGTTACTTCACCTTACCTGTGCAGGGGTGTTGTGAAGTTGTCGCCGTGTCGGAGTGTGGCATCTGGCTGGCACCTGGACATGACCCTGTCCTGTCAGGGTGTGCCTTATGGATGGTCCTTCCCAGTAACCACACCAGAAACCAAGTCGCCCCAGCTGCTTCTCAGCATGCAGTCCCTTTGAGACTTCTGCCTCCGAGTTGTGCATGAATCATCCTCCTCCTCCTCCTCCCCCCCACCCCGCCTGGATGATGGCAGACCTCTGTACTGCTCTAGCCACTACGAGGCCAGGAATCCTCCAGCTCCTCCTGGCCACCCCGGTGGCCTTTCTAAAACCCAAAGTCAGTTATGCCTCCTCTCCTTCACTGGCTCCCCTCGTCCAACTGTGGGCCTGGCCGCGCTGTCTCACCAGCTTCCTGCCTAGCCCCCACCCCTTCGCACCTCCCTGCCATGGACCTTCAGCATCTTTCCTGGGAAGGGCCTTTCTCCTCTAGTTCAGCTGCCCCTGAAGCTCTTTAAAGGCTCCACTCAGGTGTAAGTTCCTACCTGACACCAGGTGTATCTCTTTCTGCCTTTTACGCGTTTGGTGCCTTATGCGTGCTGCTGCGGCTGCCCTGGTTGTAGCTGTGTGTTTAAATGTCTGCTGTCTGCAGCTGAGCCGAGTCTCACAGGCTAGTACCATGCCCTGTGGCCAAGGAACTGCAGAGTTGAGTGAGATGCTGGGGATGCCTCTAACACAAGGTCTAGCAAGGGGCAGGTAATAAATGCCTCGACTACAAGTCACACTGGTTGTACTTTACTGTTTTCCATAAAATCTTTGTCCATATGGATGCACATTTCCACATAATCGATTCTCAGCATATGTTTATGAAGCCCTGCTCAGGGCCAGGCACTGGCTTAGCATATAGTCCCAATCCTAGCATGAATGTAATTTTGTTTCCTCCATTTTGAAAAAGCTTAATTAACTCTGAATCATCAGCCGTGCAATAAGTTTTATTCATTGGACTTTTTAAGAACTTCAGCATATTCTGTTATATAAATGTGGGGAGGCAGCAGTGACCAAAGGGGAGCCACTAAGAGCTAGTCCCCTGGGAGTCCACTCAGCACCAGCCCTGCCCACTTCCCTGAACCCTGCCACTGAGCAGGGCCTTGAGGTCTTCCTAGCCTTTGACTTACTTGAAAGATTATACTGCAATGAAAGTATCTTCGTGCATGAAATTCTTAAGATAACTTCCCACAAGTTCAAAGGGTGTGAACAGTTCAAAGCTCTAGATTTCCCTCCAAAATGACTAAAAACTATTTTATTTCTTAGTATTACATAATTAGCCCTACCATAAATATTTGAGCAATTTCATTAGCATTGAAAATATTCTTCTAAACTACTTTTTGAATTCACCATATATATGTGTGTGCCCACAGATAATATATATGGTTTTCTGTATTGTTTAAGCATAAAAAGTTTTATACACACAATTCTGTGACTTGTACTTTTCTCTTAATGACTTACTGAATAAAAATTACTTTGAGCATGGCACATATCACTCAGTAAATATCAGCTGTGAATGATTCGTACACATACGTAAATGTTTCTTTGGAGAAAATGCTGATTCATAAGGTATATAGATAAATTATAGCCAAAGTTTCCCCCCAAATTCCTGTACCAATATTGACCCCCTTCAATGTATAAGAGAACCATTTTCTCACATACTTGTCAATATGTATTTTATATTATCAACGTTTTAAATTTTAATCTTACCTAATCTGACAAACAAAGTGTATCTTGTGCATCCATCCATCCATCAACCCAGCCACTCACTCACCCACCGACCTACCTGTCTACTCATCCATTTGTCCATCTGTTCATTGGTCCATGCACCCACCCATTCACCCACCTGCCTATTCACCCACACATCTGTCCATTCATCCATCTGTCCACTGAGCCTGTATAAGTACCTGCAGAGTGAGTGCCAGGCTCTGCGCTCAGAACGGGAGACCCCAGTAGAAAATAAGACAGCATTTACCTTTTAAAAGAGGAAGAAGAGCATCAGCTGCTAATGAATAAGATACCTTCAAATGGAGATTTTATTTAGAATTTTCCTAACTACTAGAGAAGATGATCTTTATGCACATCTGTTATCCGTTTGTATTTTCTTTTCTGTGAGTTGCCTATCCATAACCCTTGTACATTTTTCTAGTTAGTGTCTAAAACAATGAAGTCCAGTGTATAAATGGACTTGTGTGTATATGTATAATATATATAATCATATATATTCTATATGTTATAAAGTTTTATATATAACTTAATATATATTGTTTAAGCATAAAAAGGTTTATACTATACATATATTGAGATTTTATTTAGAATTTTCCTAAAATATAACATATATAATATATATTATATATTCTGCATAATATATATTACATTTATATATGTAATATATAATAAGTTTTTCTTACTCTGTTTAATATTTACCCATTCCATCCTGATTTGTAGTGCCACCTTTATCATACTATATATTCATGATTACATTCTTATATATTAAATATTCATATATTCATGGTTCTATTCTTGGACTCTGTTCTGTCCTGCTGATCTGTTTGTTTCTGTCAGTACCACACTGCTTTCATTGCTTCAGCTTTAAAATACACATTGATCATGAATATACCACAACTCCCTCTTTGACCTTTCTCAAAGCTGTCTTGGCTATTCTTGCACAGTTACTCATTTTTGTGAAATTTAAAATGCGTTGTGAAGTGCCATGAAAGATCTTATTGGGACTTTGACTGGAATTACATAGATTAACTTGGGGAGCATTTTTTAGCTTTAAAAAACTAGCTATTTGTATTAGTTCATTTTGCATTGCTATAAAGAAATATCTGAGACTGGGTAATTTATAAAGAAAAGAAATTTAATTGGCTTATGGTTCCACAGGCTGTATAGGAAGCTGTACAGGAAGCTTCTGAGGAGCCCTCAGGAAACTTAAAATTATGGTGGGAGACAGAAGGGAAGCCAGCTCTTCATGTGGCCAGAGAATGAGCAAGAGAGCGGTGGTGGGGGAGTGCCACATACTTTTAAAGGACCAAATCTCAGCAGAACTCACTCATTGTAGATGACAGCACCAAGGGGTCCCCATGAGAAACCACCCCCATGATCCAGTCACCTCCCATCTGGCTCCACCTCCAACATTGGGGATTATAATTTGACATGAGATTTGGTGGGGAAACAAATACAAACTATATAATTTTACCCCTGGCCCCCTAAAGATCTTGCCTTTCTCACACTGCAAAATACAATCATGGTTTCCTAACAGTCACCCAAAGTCTTAATTCGTTCCAGCATTAACTCAAAAGTCCAAAGTCTCATCTGAGACAAGGCCTTCTAACTATGAGCCTGTAATATCAAAGACAAATTAATTACTTTCAAGATACAATGGGGGATACAGGTATTGGGTAAATACTCCCATTTCAAAGGGGAGAATTCAGCCAAAGGAAGGGTTTACAGGCCTCATGCAGGTTTGAAACTTAGTGGGGCAGTCATTAAATTTTAAAGCTCCCAAATAACCTCCTTTGACTCCATGTCTCACATCTAGGGCACATTGGTGCAAGGGGTGGGCTCCCAAGACCTTGGGCAGCTCTGCCTCTGGGGCTTTGCAGGGTTCAGCCCTGTCTGCTACTCTCATGGGCTGGTGTTCAGTGCCTGCAGTTTTTCCAGGCTGATGGTGGCAAGATGCTGGTGGAGCTACCATTCTGGAGTCTGAAGGATGGTGACCCTCTTCTCCCAGCTTCACTAGGCAGTGCCCCAGTGAGAACTGTGTGGGGGGCTCCAACCCCACATTTCCCCCCACACTGCCCTAGTAGAAGTTCTCCATGAGGGCACTGCCCCTGCAGCAGGCTTCTGCCTGGATATCCAGGCTTTTCCATACATCCTCTGAAATCTAGGCAGAGGCTCCAAAGCCTTAACTTTGCACTCTGTGTAACAACAGGCATAACACCATGTGGATGCCACCAATGCTTATGGGTTGCATCCTCTGAAACAGCAGCCTGAACTGTATCTGGGCCCCTTTGAGCCATGACTGGAGCTTGAGTGGCTAGGATGTGGGATGGAGTGTCCTGAGGCTGCGCAAGGCCGCAGGGGCCCTGGGTCTGGCCCATGAAACCATTATGTCCTCCTAGGTCTCTGGGCCTGTGAAGAGAGGGGCTGCCAATAAGGTCTCTGAGATGTCTTCCAGGCCTTTTCCCATTGTCTTGGCTATTAGCACTTGGCTCCTTTTTATTTATGTAAATTGCTGCAACTTGCTTGAATTTCTTCCCTGAAAGTGGGTTTGCCTTTTCTACCACATGACCAGGCTGCAAATTTTCCAAACTTTTACTCTCTGCTTCCCCTTTTAATATAAATTCCAGTTTTACATCATTATATCATTTCTTTGCTCATGGATATGAGCATAGCTTATTAGAAACAGCCAGTTCACATCTCGAATGTTTTGCTGCTTCGAAATTTCTTCCACCAGATACTGTAAGTCATCATTCTCAAGTTCAAAGTTACGCAGATCCCTAGGGCAGGGGTATAATGCAGCCAAGTTCTTAGCTAAAGTATAACAAAAGGAGCCTTTGCTTCAGTTTCCAAAAAGATCCTCATCTCCATCTGAGACCGTCAGCCTGGCCTTCACTGTCCATATCACTACCAGAATTTTGGTCACAAACAACAATTAACAAGTCTCGAGGAAGCTCCAAACATTCCTTTATCTTCCTGTCTTCTTCTGAGCCCTCCAAACTCTTCCACCCTCTGCTCATTACCTAGCTCCAAGGTTGCTTCCATATTTTCAGGTGTCTTTATAACAGTGCCCCACTCCTCAGTACCACTTTTCTGTGTTAGTCTGTTCTCACGGTGCTGTAAAGAAATATCTGAGACTGGGTAATTTATAAACAAAAGAGGTTTAATTGGCTTACAGTTCCACAGGCTGTACAGCATGGAAGCATGATGCTGGCTTCTGCTTAGCTTGTGGAAAAGCCCCAGGAAACTTCCAAGGATGGGGAGAATGCAAAGGGGAGCAGCACTTTGCATGGCCAAAGAAGGAGCAAGAGAGAGGAGCGAGGTGCCACACACTTTTAAACAACTGGAACTCATAAGAACTCACTATCACTGATGACTTCACCAAGGGGCGGGGGATGGGGGGGGCGGTGATGTTAAACTATGAGAAACTGTCCCTATGATCCAGTTACCTCCTGCCTGGCCCCGTCTCCAACACTGAGGATTACAATTCAACATGTGGCTTGGTGGGGATACAGAGCCAAACCATATCACTCTTCTCCTCTCTGTACATGGTGGAGCTCCTTGTTTCTGTGTCCTTCTTTAATAACATTTCCAGGTCAGCATTTTGGATTAGAGGTGCCAGTGTTGATGTCCAGGTCAGGGCAGCTCCTGGCACAGGCTGTGGTGTGTGCTCGGCAAGACAGAGACGGGAACAGAGCCTGGAAGGGGAGGGTGTGAGCAGGATGCCAAGGGAGAGACCAAAAGTGTGTGAAGTCCTCCCATGTGGCTGCTCTGTGCTGTGGGGTGCACCACATGGCAAGTGAGGTGTGTTGTCTGCGCTGCTGGGAGTTGCAGAGCACTTCTGCTCAGACCAGTGAGAGGGGAGTTGCCAGCAAGAGACCCCTGACCAAAGCCTGAGCAGAAGGTGGAAAAATAGATTCTGCTGTTGAAGGCGGCGCCCAGCAAGGGAGCAGAGGTGGCCAGCATGGTTTCAGGGGAGTTGGGTTCAAGGCAGGTGTGAGGTGTGGTTGTAATTTTTCCTGGGGTGAGGGCCTGTGAGATTTTAGGGTAAGGGAAAGGAGGCAGTAGCGTGTGGCACCTGGCCCCTTGCAGTGAGTGAGGTGTGAAGGGCAGGGAGTGTGGCTGTAGCCCCAGGGGCCCCCCGCTCATGCTTCTGATTTCTGTCCAACAGGTGCAGGCCACTGTCGTGGGGCTCTTGGCTGCTGTGGCTGCACTGCTGTTGGGCGTGGTGTCTCGAGAGGAAGTGGATGTTGCCAAGGTGGAGTTGCTGTGTGCCAGCAGTGTCCTCACTGCCTTCCTTGCAGCCTTTGCCCTGGGTGAGCCATGCCCCAGCTGTGAGCTCCCACCTGCCCCCTGCTCCTCTGAGGTCCCGCCTCAGGGTTCATTGTGTTTTCGGTTTCTGGGGTGTGAGTCCCACCGCTAATGGGACTGATGGTGGGCTCAGGGGTCTCACTGGCGGAGTGGGATGAGCCAGCTGGGTCTTCGTGGCCCGCCTTGTGCCAGGCAGGGGTGTGTGCCGCTCCAGCCACCACTCGCCTCTGCTCTCTGCTATGTAAAGACCTGTCTTTGCTCTGCAGATCTCTTCAGCTGGTCACACTCCCATGCCAAGGCCTGACACCTGCACACAGCAGGCTTGTTCATCTGTGCAGTCAGCCTGTTGGTTTTTAAACACTTATTGAGCATGACCTTACACACAGGCCTGTGATGGGCTCTGGAGGCTGCAGTGTCCTGAGGGCGAGGCACAGGTTTGAGCTTCCATTTCATGTCTTCAGAGAGGCCTTTCTGACCTGTCTGAGGAGACTGTGGCTGCTGTGACGGAGCCCCCAGTCGGCACCTTGGTGGCAGCAGACATTTACTCCTCACGGGGCTGCAGGCTGGAGCCCAAGGTTGGGCACCCACGGGACTGGCCTCAGGGCTGCTCCCTTTGAGGCTGCAGCTGGCCCTTCTCGCTCTCCTCACACAGTGGAGAGAGGTGGGAGCTCTTTGGGGCCTCTTTCATAAGGGCCCTCATCTCATTCGTGGGGCCCCCATCCTCATGACTTCACCTCCCAAAGGCCCCACCTCCTAACACCATCACCTAGTGGGCGAGGATTTCAACGTGTGGGTTAGGGGGATAGCAGTGTTGAGTGCACAGCACCACCCTCCCACATGCACCCACCTGCTGTCTCCCCTTCCCGTGTGCCCCGGCTCTGCTTGTGTAGCTCAGATTGTCTTGTTGTATCATCTTTCTGCCTCACCTCCCTGCTAAAGTGTCAACTCCTCAAGAGTGGGGACCCAGTAGTTTCTGCCTGCTGTCTACTGCTCCTTTCTCATGCCAGATACAGCTGGTGCTTAACATGTATCTGCAGCACATGTGAGACAGAAATGTGGGCAGACATACCTCCTTCCTTGGGACTCACACATGTGCGGGGAAAGCAGTCACCACACATTGGCCACGCTGCATCGTTGTCCATTGGTGATTAATTGTTGCTGGGTGTCTGCTGTGTGCCTGGCACCGTGTAGTGCTGGGGATATACTGTCAACAAAATGTGTTTTGATTTTATATTCTAGCTCAGGGGCAGACAATAAGCTGTGAATATACAGGACACTAAAGTGAGTGCCACATGTCGCTTTTGTCCTGAGGCTTCCTCTGATGAACACTAAAGTGACCTTCGTTCCAGCCGTGCTTTACGTTAATGTCCTGTTTTACTCACCTTACCTCAAATGATGTGTTCATACACTTGTGTACTGTCTCTCCCACACCCGACAGGCATTTCCACTGATGGGAACAGAGCCTTTTGGTTATTGTCATCACTTAAACCAGGGCCGGGCTTATAACCAGCTTGCAGATGTTAGCTGAATGAATGGACTCTCCTCCAGCTCTCTCCTGGGTCATGTATCTGTGTGAATCCTGCAGACCACATGTCTTGCTTTGGTGCAGTGAAAGAAGGAAAAGTTGATAACTTCATAATTGAACCTATTATGATCCATTCCCCCACCTACTTGCTCAGTCAGTACCCTCTGGGCTCAGCTCGCTGTAGGTTACCCATGTGGACTATTTGAGGTTTCTCATTCCTACCTACCAGGTAGCTGATCAGCCCCATTCCTGTGCCAGTGCATGGAGCCAGCGTGGAGGGTGTAGGCCAGAAGAGGACTGTGCCGAAGCCCAGCTGCAAGTTTACAAACCACATGTCCCTACTCAGGATGTTGGCTGAGGCTGGCTCCTAGTCACAGCCTGCACAGGCATGGACAGATGGTGGATGCCATGACCCAGCCTGGTCCACGGATAGGGCAGGATGAATGTGCTAGACTTTCCAGAGAAGAGGAGTCCAGGAGACCCTCAGCATAAAGTCTCCTGAAAACAACACAGTCTAACAGTCTAGAAGGCCAGCCCTGTCTTTGCAGGGGCTTATAGAGAATACCATTTCCAGCTCCCCATTTTACAGAAGGGGAAACTGGGGCCCTGGAGATGGGATGAAGCTTAGCAACATAAGCAAAATCTGTATTGTCCGTGACTGTTCAGAAGCATTGCGGTTACCTCACCAGGCAATGTTGAAGAGGATGTCACACAAGCCTCAGGGTAGTGGTTTTCAATAGGCGTCCCCAAACCACTGGTGTTCCTTTAAATGGTCCCTGCAAGATTGTCCCCAGCTCACTGACTCAGCGTGCAAACTCAGATTCACTTATATCTGGCATTCAGAAGGAGACACAGGGCTGTGACTTGTTCACAAGATCAGGCCAGGCACAAACCGGCTTGTAGTGGCAGCTTGAGGATGGTATCAGGTGGTGATTGTAATTGTTTTTAGAGTTACAAGATCCTGGGTAAAGTGTTAAAATGCCAATAGCCACAACACAGAGTATCTTCTTAGAGAGCCAAGTGAGAGTCTGTTGAGTCAAGTCCTAGGCTGTGGATGGGGACTAGGATATCATGTGTGATAGTCCCCTTCAGAGCACAGTCTGAACAGGAAGGAGGACTTCGGAGGCATGGTGGCCACGGAAACGTGAGCCTCACCTCTTCAGTACTGCCCCCCAAAATCCGCCACCACTGCATGTGCCTCCCAGTGCACCGCGGACAGCACCGCCAAGCTCCCAGCATGGGACTGTTCCTGGGAGACACAGGGCCCTCCGAGTGTGCCTCTGACAGCCTGGCTGAGTGCACCTAGAAATGCAGTGCAGTCTCAGATGTACCCCCACCTTCCCTGCCTCCCTCCCCTGCGCCCTGCCTGTGTCAATGTCCGTCAGTGCTCCCAGCTCCCTCCCGCCCTCCCCGTCTTCCCTCACAGGCCTAGTCCCTAATGAACCTCTTACCCAGCTGATTCCATCTTGGTGTCTGCTTCTCAGAGGATGCCAGTAAACATAGGAGGCCATGAGCTCACCCCCTGGGGACCCGAGCATCTTTGGAGCAGCCTCCATGCAGCATGGGGCTGTGGACTGCCTGTCTCTGTGGTTCCTGGTGATTTGGGGGCTCGGGAGCCACAGGTCACTCCTTAGCATCACGCGCACAGGTCACAAAGTGGAGTCCAACTCTCCCAGGCTTCTCAGGCCTCCAGTGTAGTGGGAAGCTCTGAAAGTCAAGGCAGCCTGGCTTCACGTCAAGGCCTTGGTGGAGGGAGGCAAGTTAATGAGAGCCTCCCTGCCATCTGCCAGTCCCGACTTAGTGCCCCCATCCTGTGCTGCTGTGCCTGCTCAGAGCCATCTGGCTCCCTGGGATTTGAGTTTGCTCTTTCTCCTCTCTCTCTGCAGGGGTGCTGATGATCTGTATAGTGATTGGTGCTCGAAAGCTTGGGGTCAACCCAGACAACATTGCCACGCCCATTGCAGCCAGCCTGGGAGACCTCATCACACTGTCCATTCTGGCTTTGGTTAGCAGCTTCTTCTACAGACACAAAGGTAAGGAGTGTCTTCTTCTGTAGACACAAAGGCTCCATGGAGGAGGGGCCCTGGAACAGGTCACCACTGAGGCTGAAGGGTACTTTTGCATCCAGCCCATGTGCTGTTGCTTGAATGTGTCCCCCACATTTCATGTGTTGGAAACTTAACCCCTAACTTGGCAGTAATGAAAGGTGGGGCCTTCAAAAGGTGATTGGATTAATGGATTAATGGATTAATGAGTTGTCATGGGAGTGGGACTGGTGGCTTTATAAAAAGAGAAGGTGAGACCTGAGCTGCACGCTCGGTTCCCTCACCATGTGGTGCCCTGCACCACCTCCGGACTGCAGAGCCCCCACCAGCAGGAAGGCCCTCACCAGATGCAGCCCCTCGACCTTGGGTTCTTCAGCCTCCACAACCATAAGAAATTTCCTTATGAATTATCCAATTTCTGGTATTCCCTATAAGCAAGTAGACTAAAGCAAAAAATTGATACTGAGAAGTAGGGTGTTACTGATGTCAACCTTAAATAACAATATCCAGAGAAGATTGTTACCAGCGGTGAGTCCAGCTATCTGGAGAAACTCCAGAATGGCAACTTTGCAGCAATTTCAGTTCTTTGTCTTCTGGAAGGAAAGATTTCAAACACAGGCAAGGTTTAAAGCAGGAGAGAGAATTTATTTTAAGCAAAGCAAGAGTTTATTAGAGAGAGTACACTTGAAAGAGAGTTGTGGGCAACTTGAAAAATCAAGTGTGGTGTTTGCTTTAGTCATACCCCCCACATCCATACCTGGGCAATTGTTTAAAGGCATTTTGTTCCTAACTGCCTCCCCCATTATCTTCATGTACCTGGAATTTGTGTTACAATGAACAATAATATAGTCAGTCCATAGCTTATGTTATTTTAATGTAAATTATTGGTGAACAACTTAGGAACAGCCTCTTCCTTTATCCTTAAAATCCCACTTGTAACTGCTACTAATTGAAGTATATATCCAGGGCACTTGAATCTATGCTCCCACTGAGCTGTTCTTAAGTTTTGGGCTCAGGTAAACTCTAAAGTTAGTCATAAAATAGGCGGTTAGACATGAGCAAGGCAGGAGAGAGGGCCCCCAAGAGTGTTGGGCAGTTGTCAAGCTATGGTAAGGGAATTATAAATCTGTCCCCTTGAAATAATGAGCAGGACAAGGGAGGAACCCCAGAGCTGTCTGGTACTCATTGAGTAACAGACAGGCAGGCATAAAACCATCCCTCTAAGATAATAAGCGGCCAGGACTGGTGCCTGGAATTACAGGAGTCTTAGAACAGACAGAAGACACCTGGAGTTAGCAAGCCATAATCCCCGATAAGGTTTCAAGCATGTGCAGTGAAAGGGCAAAATGGTGAAATTTAACTGGTATATGACCTTCCTCTGGAGCGCTGGACCTGTGAGAGCTGCCCCTACTGAGCATGTGCACCACTTCAGTAAACACACTGCACGTGCAGCTCTCCCAAGTGCTGGCAGGACCACTGCACATGCCATAGATAAAGGCCCGCCCAGGGGAAGAACAGAAGGAAGACACAGAAAGCCCAGGAAAAGATAGGGGGTATAAAAACTCTAAACAAAGAAGCAAACAACACACTTGATTTTGACAATTGGTTGAGTTTATCTAAAGACCTGAGATCAATAGAAAGCAATGTCTGTGTTAAGAAAAAGGATTGTGGAGACAGAGTTCTTATTTGCAGAGGAAGCCTTCAGGTAGCAGGCTTCAGAGAGAAGAGATTATAAAATGCTTCTTATCAGACTTAAAGTCTGTGTTGATGTAAATGCCAGAGAGGGATAATGAGGCATGTCTGACTCCCACTCCCCGTCATGGCCTGAACCAGTCTTTCAGGTTCCATTTTAAGAGTGCCCTCGCTGAGGAGGAAGTTCATTCAGATAGTTGAGATGGAGCTTAGAATTTTGTTTTTGGTTTACCTGGTGAACTCCTAGAGAAAAGGGAAACGGCAGAAAAATTTGAAAATTTTTAGCCTGGCCATGTGGTAGAGAATGAGTTTCCAGGAGAGGAATCCAAGGGTGTGACTGAGCCACCAGTTTCTAAGGAGATTAGCATGGCTGAAAGGGAGTCCAGTAGTCAAGACAAGGGGGAAACGGCCCAAAAGCATATCAGAGATTTTTCTTGGCTCCCCCTCCCATCACAAGCCCAGAAACCTAGAAGGACGGAGTAGTTTCAGGGGACAGGCCCAGAGCATGAGCTTGCTGCCCAGGGACTCTGTTCCCTGTATCCCAGCACAGCGCTCCTTAGCCATCCCAGCCATGGTTCACATGGCTCGGGTGCAGCTCATGCTGCTGCTCCAGAAGGTACAAGTCATAAACCTAGGTCCATGTGGTGCTAGTTGTCCAGACTTGCAGAGAGCAAGGGCCTTGGAAGCTTAGTAGCCACTACCAAGTTTTGGAAGTATTTTGTCCAAAGCCTGGGGGCCCAGACAAAGACTTGTTTCAGGGCTGGAGCCACTGCAGAGCTCCCCTACTAGAGCAGTGCCAAGCAGAAATGTGGGATTAGAGCTGCTCCAGAGAGTTCCACCAGGACAATACCTGGTGGAGCCATGGAAGCAGGACTCCCACCAAGACCCCAGGACTGCAGAGCTGTTAGTATGCGACTTCAGCCTGGGAGGGCTGGGTGAACTGAGCACAGCACAGCCATGGTTGGAGATAGGGGGCTGTCAAGAGGCCTGGGAGCCTCAACCCCCACAGCAGCGTGTAGAAGATGCCTGGCATGGAGTCAGAGGAGAAAGCTCTGGAGTCGTAAGCCCCAGTGTCTGCTCTCTCAGGTTTTGGCCTATTGGTCTTTTTGTCCATTTCTTCCTTTTGGATGGGAATGTCTGCCTTATACCCATACCACCATTGTATCTTAGAAGCAGATAGCTTGTTTTGATTTCATAGGCTCACATGTGGGACTCTGGACTTTGGGCTTTTGAGTTAATGCTGGCATAATTTAAGACTTTGGGGCTATGGGGATGGAATGAATGTATTTTGCATGTGAGAATGCCATGAATTTGGGGGACCAGGAGTGGAATGCTGTGGTTTGAATGAGTTCCCTCAGTTTCACATGTTGATCCCCACTGTGGCGGTATTGAAAAGTGGGGCTTTTAAGAGGTGATTGGGTCATAAGGGCTCTGCCCTCATGAATGAATTAATCCAGTCATGGATTAATAGATTAATGGATTAATGGATTAATGAGTTGCCATGGGAGTGGGACTGGTAGCTTTGAAAAAGAGGAAGAGCACAAAAGCTACATGCTCAGTTCCCTCGCCACGTGGTGCCTTGCGCCACCTCCGGACTCTGCAGAGTCCGCACCAGCAAGAAGACCCTCACCAGAGGCAGCCTCTCGACCTTGGACTTCTCAGCCGGTATAACTGTAAGAGCAAATTCCTTTTCTTTAGGGATTACCCAGTTTCGAGTGTTCTGTTATAAGCAACAAAACTGACTAAGACACTGTGACCTTCAAATCAGCCATTATTCCCACAGGAAGGACCCTGCTGTATTACAGTCAAAAATTGTTTTACAGATGGAAAGCCTGAGGTCATTCCACAAGTTCAAGGAGTGCTCAGGAAAGTGCTTCAAGCTCTCCAAACCATGTTAGGAAGGATGAGCAACTGAAGCCTGCATTTATATGGGTTGTTAACTTCTACCTTTAGGGTAGAGGTGTACTAGGAGGTTGAGTGGGGCCTGAGGCTGGTCGGCCACACTGATGTGTCCTCACAGGAATGGAGGGCAGTGGGCACGCGGTGACAGTTGTTGAGGAAGTGCCCAAAGGGAAGAACCTCAGCAAAGCTACAATTTATCACTCCCCATGGGAATGTGGGCCCAGGGATTTGGGAAAGCATCCCATCTTTACCTGTTGGCAACTGAAGCAGACAAATAAACAGCTGTGATTTAGAGGGTATTGGCACTGGGACCCTTTCTGTCCCAGCTTTGGGACTGTCTCCTTGCCATCCTGGTGTTGCCTGCCAGCAGTCATGTTTAATCACCAGGAAGATTCGCCAAGTTTAGTTAAGTGGTGATGGAGATTTGTAAGAAATAAGATGACCTAATTTTACTTTTAAGCTCAACTGAACTTAAAACAAGAAGGTTTGTGTGTGGGTTATTTGAGTTGGATTTGCAAAATAAGTGAGAGTTCAGGCATCACATGAACCTTTCCCTCTGCCCCACGCTGTACTGTATGCTCATTTCCACACGACTTATGATTTAGACACAAAATCACTGTTGGAGCATCCCTCTCTCCAGTGAGACTGTGACCTTCTCTCTGCTACATTCAGGAGTCACTGGGACTGGCCTGTATTAGATAAGTCTTGACCCATTGAGGTGTAAGCAGCTGACTGTGGCACCTGCTGGGTGTAGTTGGGAACTGGCATTGTACACTGAGGAGGTGTGCTGGGAGAGCATGAGGCAGGCCCTGGGGGTGCCTGTGAATAGCTCACTGAAAACTCAGACTGGATTCAAAAGCATCCTATAAGGTGATGCTTCTGCAGGCCGCTGTTTCCCAGAGGGCAGGAGACCTGGTTAGAGCTGGCTGGGCCTGACATATCTCCTGCAGAAGCCACGCCCTCCTACCATGAAGTACCTTGTCTGTAGCCAGTCTGGGGCACCTGAGGCAGAGGAATGGGCCATGACCCTTTAGTGCAGAGAAGGAAGGAGGGGATATTCCTGATACCACCACCAGAGAGAGAGTGCATGGGACACAGACCCATGCCTGGGCACCCCTGAATGTTGGGCCCCCTTAGCAAGTGAGCCAGCCCTCCGGAGGGTGGGGCTGGGTGTGAGAGGACCACTCTAGAGAACGCCGGTGTCTTGTTCTGTCACTTGCGGAAGGGGACCCTCACACGGAGCACAACACAGAAAGGGAGGAATGAATGCATGAGGAGCCCGAGTATGTCAGGCTCATCCTGGGCCCCCACAGCAGTGACTGCTCCAGCAACTGGCCAGTCTTCACTGGCCTCTCGCCAGTGGAGAAGATGAGACGGGGACGCGAGTAGCTACCTGGCTGGTGACCCGTGTAGTTGCCTGGGACTGGCCTCAGGCAGGACCACAGGTGGCATCCCACAGCCAGCTCTGGCGTTCCATAGACCCAGGCCATAAGTAGCCCTTACGGGGCTGCTTGCTGTCTAGGCAACCACCCTTTTTTGCATGTCTGCTTCCTCCTGCTACCTGTCGAGAAGGTGAGATGAGATTGTGCACACGAAGTACTGAGCATAGTGCTGGCTCATGGTGCGTTCCATACATTGTACTGTATTTATTTATGACAGTAGCATCAGGGTGGGAGGAGGCAGAACAGGGTACTTTATGTGGGGAAAATAGCAAGTTTGCCAGAGAAGTAGAGTTGAATATGGCAGGAATGGAGGACAGAGAGGAGCTTTTCCAGTCACTTCTTGGGATGGTGAAAGTTCTTTGAAAAGTATGGCAAGGCAGTTCCCCCTCAACTAACGAGGACAGGAGCGTCCTCGCCCACCTCTTGTGAAACCCAGGCCCAGCCTGTGCGTGCTGGCCTTGGCCATACAAGCCACGTGTGTCCCTGTTCTCCTTTCAGATAATCAGTATCTGACGCCGCTGGTCTGCCTCAGCTTTGCGGCTCTGACCCCCGTGTGGGTCCTCATTGCCAAGCAGAGCCCACCCATCGTGAAGATCCTGAAGTTTGGCTGGTTCCCAATCATCCTGGCCATGGTCATCAGCAGGTGAGCAGGAGCCAGGGCCATGGCCCCCTCTTCCTTCTCTCAGCCATGAAGGCCCCTAGAGCCAGTGTGACACTCACTGCCTTGGGGGTCCGGGATGGAGTGAAATGTAGCTGTGGGCTCTTTCAGTAACTCCCATTGCTGATTGAATCATACCTTTTTACTTTCTTCTCTCCCTTTCACTGAGAACCCTGGGCCTTGTCGGTTCTAAGAGAGGCTGCCCTGTTTACATTTGCCAGAGCACCAGGGACCCAGGAAGAGCCAAAGCCAGGGCCACCCCATGAGTGCATTGGAGCCCCAGGGGAGACAGTGGCTTTCAGGCCATGGCCACCAGAGCTTTGCTGGCCCAGACTCCTGCTTAGGTGGCAGGTCCCCCACCTCGGCGTCAAGGCCACATCTGCTGACTTATTCATCCTCCTGGTCACTGGCCACGCATGGCTACTGGTGGGAGCTAGACAGCTGGGAGGGTTAGTTCCCCTCCAGAGCCTTAGAACCTTCAGCTGAGCCCAGGTCCACCACCCTCCAGCTCCCTCTCAAGGCCCATTTCCTGGGAGTCGACCTTGATGGGGGCCACCCCAGTCCATTCTGATGGGTTTTTCCAACTTTGAGTCTTGGGGAGAAGAGGTGATACAGTGGGTATCCTGGCTTCCAGGAGGCTCCTGGGCTCCTTTTACAGATTGACCTAGCTTCTCCAGGGGTCTGAGAAGTTCCAAGGGGTGGGGAAGCTTTTGCTAAATTACAGTGGCCAGTGGGAGCAATTTCTGGCTGCAACATTTTCTGAGAACACGGGGCGGGCATGAGGTGATCCTCCTGCAGTTTCTGTTTTCTGCTAAAGAATATCTCAGCCGTGGTTCCAGAGTCTTGGGACAGCCCAGCCAGCTGTGTGCCCTTGAAAAGGCATTTGTTTGTTTTACAATAAGTGGGTGTTCTTGGATGGCCTTCTGCAATGGTTGAGATTCAAAGTGGAGATGGAAAAGTATGAGCAGGGTGCAGAGGATGCTGGGGAGACCAGCTTGGCTGCAGCAGATATTTTGTGTAGAGGAGAGGAGAGTGTCCACCAAGGGTGGGAAGCCAGGCTGAGAGGGTGATTTGTGTGGAGGGTTGCAGGGCCATTGTAAGTGTAAACTCTGATAACTTGACTGCTGTCTGCTATTTCCCCAGTTTTGGAGGACTCATCTTGAGCAAAACCGTTTCTAAGCAGCAGTACAAAGGCATGGCGGTATTTACCCCCGTCATATGTGGTAGGTATTTGAGGGATTCCCATGTGGTCCCTGGACTGAACAGCAGACCTCAGAGGGGCAGCACCAGCCCCACACAGGCAGTTGGGCAGCTGAGCCGTGGACAGACTGCTGCCTTACAGGGATGCCGGAGCAGGTCTTCTCAGTTGGAAGAAGCCTGGGAAGGAAGCCCCACACACTGCTCACAGCAGCTCAGACCCAGCTCCTCATAGGCAGCCCCCAAACATGAGCTCTTCTGACAGAACCAAATTCCAGGCTTTGCCGGCACTGAGTCAAACTCCGGCCTCGATGGCACCTGCTGATTGAGCATGGCTTTCAGAACCAGGGCGCTGGCTCTTGACTTTTTTTTTTTTTCTTTGGATTCATTGCTGACATCAGAACTCAGATATTTACCCTTAAAAATCTGGATTTCTTCTTAAAAGTTAAGACTGTAACCAATACCAGGTCTACACTCTGGGCACTGCAGCAGTCCCTGAGACAGATCCAGGACTGTGCTTGCCAGCTGCCTTGATCCCCCCTTCCCTGTTGTCAGACACCTGGCTCTCTGCACATACTCACCTCCTAGGCCTACATCCTATGGGGTTTGTGTGGATGACGCCTCTTTTAACCAAAGCTTAGTTTGGTGTCTGGTGTCTGATAAGTTTCTGTAAATGGAAGTGATGTTAGGAGAAGAACAAAACATAATTTGTCCAGTTTAGCCCCCAGGCCCTGGCCTGCAGGGACTGAAGAAACAGCCTTCAGAGGCTCTTAGGCAGCCCCTGCGTGTCCAGTGTCCCTCCTCCCTTGCTCCCTTAGGGGACCATGTCTTTGTTCCTTGCATGTCAGTGGGCCATCAGCATGTCCTCACCCCAACAGTGCCAAAGTGCCTTCACATTGTGAGTAAGGATAGCAACAGAAGGCTTATTACGTTGGAGTGATATTTTGGGATGAGTCACCAACTGGGATGCCTTCAGTGGCCACTCAAACAATCTGCATGAATTATGTAGGCCCGGCAGCTAGACAGTGAGGAATAGCGGGGGCAAGCTGCAGAATGCATTTCTCATATGAACAGCATGGTGCCTGTCCAGCTCCAGCCAGTAGTTGCCTTGGGAGAGTATAGATCCAGACTTGCCAGAGTTGACCTGGGAAGAGAAGCTGGGAATCTGTATTAAGGGCCAAGTAAACAGTACCAATTAATTTGAGATTTTTTTTCTTTTTAAAATTATGTATGGGCCAAGCAGAATAGATCGCAGCAGTCCTGTACCTGAAGACAATTGTTTGCATCCTTTAGAGCAGCCTACATGGTTGGCCTCTGCCCCAGAGGTCACCCACTGGTGCACACCTGGCCCAGCTAGGGAGAGTGCTCCGTGGCACTGAGGAAGTAGGATGGGGGAATCCCCACCTTCCGTCAGCCCATCCCCACAACTGCCCCCACAGAAGGAGTGCTCAGCGTGGCCTTTGTCAGCTGGGCCATCTGGCCCTGGCTGAGCCTGAAACCTTTTTCATACCCCGTGGGATCCTGGAGCCTCAGCAGGAAGCCCTAGTGTTCCCAGAGACCGCATGTGCTCATGGTTTTCTGGGCATCATGACTCTGCCTCTAGGGTTCTGTGTTCTATGCCCTGTCAATCTACACATGACCTCGCTCATCCTGTTTCCCCTAAAGCCACTTGCTCTGGGCATACACCCAAAGCATCTGTGAATGTAGGAGTCCGCACTAACAACTGAGCTCCCACAGAGGGGCTCACATAGCACCACAAATTGAAATCATGCAACAGACGTCTTTTCTTCAAAGCTGTCAGGCCACACAGCCATGAGAGGTGTCCCAGGCACGTCTCCTGCCGCACGCTTGCTTTGCCACCTGTGATCATCTCTCTCCTCCCCTCACCTTCCCTCTCATTCTTTTTTTTTTTTAATGTGTATTTTTTTTTTTTTTTGAGACGGAGTCTTGTTCTGTCACCCAGGCTGGAGTGCAGTGGTGCGATCTTGGTTCAGTGCAACCTCTGACTCCCAGGTTCAAGCGATTCTCCTGCCTCAGCCTCCTGAGTAGCTAGGATTACAGGTGTGCACCACCACACCCAGCTAATTTTTTTTTGTATTTTTTAGTAGAGACAGAGTTTCACCATGTTGGTCAGGCTGTTCTCGAACTCCAGACCTCAAATGATATGCCTGCCTCAGCCTCCAAAGTGCTAGGATTATAGGCGTGAGCCACCGCGCCTGGCCCTCTCTCATTCTTATCCACTGTTTTCATTCCTCTCCTCTCCTCTCTTTCCCACCTTGAGTGGGAAAAAAAAAAAAATCACTTTCATTTTCTCAGATATTCCAGCCTGTAGTCTGGTTCCTGTCAATGCCTGTGGTCTTGAAGTCTGACTTACCCAGACTGCCTTATCATGCTGTGCTCAGACCTTTCTGTCCACTCTCCCCTCATCCTCACTTTGTCCCTAGATCCCCTCCCCATCCTCACTCCAGCCAACAAATATTTATTGAGAACCTGCTTTACAGCCACATTCCCTTCACCTTAAGAGATGCCAGCAGTCAAGGTGACACAGTTACTCCCTGGATACCTCGCTCATAAGCTCTAGGCCACCCTGATGTGCTACCAAACAAGATCTGTGGTCAAGTGGGAGGAAATGAAAAGATAATGAAATACTGAATTAACCAAAGAAGGCTTCCTGGAGGGAGGGAACTTAAAATAAGGGATACAACTTAGAGACTGGTGTAAAGAAAGGGAAAACAGATTCCTTTTCTCCTCGTAGGTGTTGGTGGCAATCTGGTGGCCATTCAGACCAGCCGAATCTCAACCTACTTGCACATGTGGAGCGCACCTGGCGTCCTGCCTCTCCAGATGAAGAAATTTTGGCCCAACCCGTGTTCTACTTTCTGCACATCAGGTGGGTGTCATGTCTTTCAGAGGCCATCACAGCCATTTCTTTAAACAAGAAAACATCTGTGTCATTGGAATCTGGTGTTTGTAGCAATAGATGCCTGAAGCCAGGGCTGATCTCGGCACACATCACCTTCAGGACCCCAGAAATGAGACTCCCTGGCCCTGCCTTTCCTTCATTCAATTATTTATTGAATGTCTACTGGGCATTAGGTGTCGGGTTAGTGGTGAAACAGGGAGAGCTGATTTCTTGCCCTTGGATTACACAGTATAGAAGGGCAGATAAACACAAGTGAGCTCGTAATTACAAACTATGGTGGGTACTAAGCAGCAAAAGTGCAGACTGCAGTGAAAAAGAATTAGAAGAGATACATTTGGGATAGGGAAGCTCCTCCCTGAGGACAAGTGGGTGTTGTTGGGGGGAGGAGGGCCAGAGAAAAGGGGGCTTTCAGGGCAGTGGGTGCAATCTAGCAAAGGCCCAAAGGCAGGGAAGAATATGGCAAGTCTGAAGAACTGAAAGGCCAATGTGGCCTGAGCTGAATGGACAGGAGGGGATGAAGGATGCTGAGGCTAGAGAGGCCAGAAGGTGGTGATCAGACAGGGCCTTGACGACGGAGCCTGGATTCTACTCAGAACCACTGGAAGCTTTTGGAGATGTTGTATCTTTTTGTTGGCTTTGAAAAACTAGATCTGTTTTCCTGTTACATTGTTGGATTTCTTTTCTGTTTTAAGAACTACCTTTAGCTGTCTTTTGGGTTGGCTGCTGGCACGTTTCTGAAGGATATTTTCACTGGTTATAAAATTTGGTGTTGATGGTTGTTTTCAAACACTTGAAAAATGCGTCGCTTCCTTCTGATTCCATGACTTATGATGAGAAATCTGCCATTTCAGTGTGTTTTGCTGTATAGGTATGGTGCCATTTCTCTCTTGCATATTTCAAGACCTTGTCCTTAGTTTCTAGGAGTTGGATTATGATATGTATTGGTATGGACTTCTTGGGGTTTATCCTATTTGGGGTTTGCTAGGCTCCTTGAACACATGGATTTATATCGTTTGTCAAATCGGAAAATTTAAGCCATCACTTTTCAGCTGCACTCTCCTTCTTTTTGATATTCTAGTGACATGAATGTTAGATCCTCTGTTACAGCCCCACAAGTCCCTGAGACTCTGTTTGTTTTTGGCAAAGTCTATTACTCTCCTTGTTTAGATTGGCTCATTTCTATCACTTTTTTCTCCAAGTTGACTGATCTTTTTTCTCCTGCCCTCTCCATTCTGCTATTGAGCCTATTCACTGAGTTGTTTGGGACTTCTGGGGGTATTGTATGTGTTTAGTTTTTTTTTTTTTTTTTTTTGAGACGGAGTCTCGCTCTGTCACCCACGCTGGAGTGTGGTGACGAGATACCGGCTCACTGCAAGCTCCGCCTCCCGGGTTCACGCCATTCTCCTGCCTCAGCCTCCCGAGCAGCTGGGACTACAGGCGCCCACCACCACGCCCAGCTAATATTTTGTATTTTTAGTAGAGACGGGGTTTCACCGTGTTAGCCAGGATGGTCTCGATCTCCTGACCTCGTGATACACCCGTCTCAGCCTCCCAAAGTGCTGGGATTACAGGCGTGAGCCACCGTGCCTGGCCATGTTTAGTTTTAACATTTCTATTTGGTTCTTCTTTCTATCTTCTTTTTCTTTTCTGAGACTTTCTATTTCTTTGCTTATACTTGCTATTTTTTTTATTGTTTCAGGTGTGTTTGTGATTGCATGATGAAGCGTTGTTGTAGTGGCTTCATTAGAACGGCTTTCATGTGATGCTGACATCTGTGTCATCTCAATCTGCTGTCTGTTGGTTGTCTTTTCTCATCCAGGTTGAGATTTTTCTGGCTCTTGGCAAGATGAGTGATTTTCACTTGAATCCACGCATTTTGGGTATTATGTGACAAGACTTTGGATCATATTTGAATCTGTACTTAGCTGGCCTCCTTTGACACTGCACCACTGGGGAGAAGGGATGGACTGCTGCCCAGGTGGGGATGGAAGGCTGGGTTCCCCACTCAGCCTCTATTGCTATCCTGGGAGAAGAGGAGCACTTTGTTATTGCTGGGCACAGTGCAATCTAGGTTCCTCCCTAGGCCTCCTCTGAGATCGCCCTGGCTGGGGTGGGGAGAGATGCCTTGTTGTTGCTCCCCACATGGCTTCACTGACAAGGTAGGGGCCGCATTAGCACTGGGTAGAGATGAAAGTTCTGAATATCACCCTGCCAGCCACAGGAGATGATGGTGGTCCTACTAGGCCTTTCCTGACGAGGTCGGGGCTGCAGTTTTTCCCGTGGTGTCCGTTGGAGTAGAGTAATTACTATCTGAAAGTTGTTTGTTTTGCTGGGCTTCCCCTTTCCTGGCCTTTGGCAAAAAACATCAGACTTCTATGGAGTCTGTTTTTTTGAGACAGGGTCTCACTCTGTCGCCCAGGCTGGAGTGCAGTGGTGCAATCTTGGCTCACTGCAACCTCCACCTCCCTGGTTCAAGTGATTCTCCTGCCTCAGCCTCCCGAGTAGCTGAGATTATAGGCGTGCACCACCATACCCAACTAATTTTGTGTTTTTAGTAGAGAGAATGTTTCACCATGTTGGCCAGGCTGGTCTTGAACTCCTGACCTCAAGTGATTGCCTGCCTTGACCTCCCAAAGTGTTGGGATTACCGGTGTAAGCCACCGCACCCAGCCTATGGAGTTGTTTTTTTTTTTTTGTCTATTTGTATCTGCATTTCTTGATGGCTGAGGCCAGGACTCAGTCTTGGATATGTGAGACAAATAAAGAAAGAGAAAAAGGACAATTTACAACCATGTTGTTCATTGCAGCCCAAGGTCCCCAGCCAGCCTTTCAGAATCTGCTTACATTTGTCTTATATACAGTGTTCAGGGCTTTCAGTTGTACTTAATGGGAGAAACAGGATGACGTATGTCTTCCCTATTTGTTCAGAAGTCAAACTCCCTGTTATATTTTCTAACTTGTCATTTGAATATAGAAAAGCTGTTATTTTCTGTGTTATTAGTGCACCTCAACATTTTATTGAATTCTTATTGTTTACATGGTTTTCCTATAGATTTTCTTGAGTTCTCATACCAACTTCCAGTAGTAGCTTCTTCCAATCCTTTTGCTGCTGCTTTTTGACATTTTTTTAAATAATACTTTTATTCCTTGTCTGATTTCTCATCATGAATAGATGTTGTTGCTCCTCTGCACTAGCTTTGAGCTACATGTGACCTTTTTTCTCCTTTTCTTTATTATTTTGGTGAAATACATATATTAACTCAGAGGCAAATGGAGACCTACTTTACATTAGAACTCTATTTCCATTTGAGAAATCAATCATATTCATGTTAGAATTTTTGAAAGTATTTGTGGTAGGGCCAGGGTCAATCACACTTACTGTAAAGTCTCACACTCAGAGCATGGGAATCTAAAGGAAACCCGGGGCTCACTGGCACATTGCAGGTGTGCTGACAGGCCACAGAGGCTGCTGTGAAGAAGGGGCTGCCCGAGGTCCCCTTTTGAGCTGACTGCCCTCCCCAGATCACCAGCACTGCATTGAGTGGAGCACCACACCCAAAGTTCTTTTCCTCCTTAAGCCCCTTGCATGTTCGCTCTTGTCTGCTCAAACTCCTCTCCCCCAAATTCAAATCCCAGCTGAAATATCTGCAGGAGCTCATCCCCACTGATACACACTTCCTGCTTTTTGCCCTTCTTTTTACCCTTACTTTCTTCAAAGTACTTGTCAGAATTTGAAGTAGCCTTTCTTGCTCCTTTTTATTTCTGCTTACTTGATTCTTGTTTCTCTTCTCTAAAATATCAGCTCCACGAGGGAAGGGGACAGACTGTATCCCCATCTGCCAGAACATGCTTGCCACAGAGTAGGTGTCCACTGAACACTTGGGAATAAATGGATGAGTGAGTGTGGATGCCTCACTGAGGACTGTCACATGCCAAAGTGGTCTCGCTTCAGGTCACATGACCTTCTTGGTTCTGTTTCTTTCAGAAATCAATTCCATGTCAGCTCGAGTCCTGCTCATGCTGGTGGTCCCAGGCCATCTGATTTTCTTCTACATCATCTACCTGGTGCAGGGTCAGTCAGTCATAAACAGCCAGACCTTTGTGGTGCTCTACCTGCTGGCAGGCCTGATCCAGGTAAGCCTGACTGCAGCAGCAGAGGTGCACAGCTGGGTAGTCAGCCAGCAGCCTTGATCTCCTGTCTGAGTGAGAGGCTGAAGGAGACGGGTGGGGGTGGCTGGACATGTGGGGCACAGTCCCTATCTTCCAGGAGTTGAGTCAACTTATCAGATACAGAGGCCACTCCACACGGCATACCACACGCTGCGTGCCACACACTCCACACCACACAGCGCATCGCACACATTCCACACCACACCACAAACTCACCACACACTCCATACCACACAGCACATCCCATACACTCCACACCACACACTGTACCCCACACAATCCACACCACACATTCCACACCACACATTCCACACCACACACTCCACACCACACAGTGCATCCCACACATTCCACACCACACACTCCACACCACACACTCCACACCACACACTCCACACCACATACTCCACACTACACACCTTACATCACCCAGCACATCCCACACACTCCACACCACACACTCCACACAGTGCACGCCACACATACATGCTGCATGTCACAGTGCATGCCACAGAGCGCATGCTGCATGCTACACGCTATACAGCTTACGCTACGTACTGCACTGCATAATACACATTTCATCCTGCACATCACCCCTCACATTATATACTGCATGCTAGACACGGCACACCACATGCCACACACTGCACGCAGCACATTCATCATCACAGGATAAGAGGAGCAGCCCTGAGGATGAAGCATGTTCCCATGGAACAGGCTGATGAGTGGTCCAGCCATCCACTGCCTCCCCAATGGTGGGTGGGCACCAGGCCCCTGCAGGGGGTGCTGCTGCAAGGCATGCGTAGACATTGATCAGGCCTGGACAGCAGTGAGCACGGTGGTGAAGATTAAGCTGGTGCCTGTGTTGGGCAGGTATTCAGCACACTGTCTGCCTACACTGCAGCGGGCTGATGGTCCCCAGTGGGCCTGGGGCCTTTGCAGCGAGCACTGTGGGCACTGGAGGGCAATTCTGTGGGTGTGGTGCTGGTACTGGCACTTTCTCATCTCCCCGAGTTTATGGCATTTGTAACTGTGGTATGTTCCTGACCCTAAAGAGTAGGATTAGGGAAATCCAAGAAGTTGTCCTGAGCAGCAGCAGCAGCTTATGACTCCAGTTGGGGAGAAGGAAGGAGCTGGGGTCAGCCTGGACAAGGGACTAAGGAGCCATGAGACCTGAGCAGGCTTGTGTGGACTACCCCATGGCACCTTCAGGAAGGGCTGACTGTCCTAACCTCCAGGGGAGAAGGGCTCAGGCAAACCCAAATGGACATCTCAGCGAAGTCCCATGAGTGGAGCCTATCGCAGCAGAGAGAGCCCCAGCTGGTGAGTGGCAGTGGGTCCGACTGGCCCTTCAGGGTGCCAGAAGCAGGGCCCACCAGAGGGCGTCTAGGAATGTGCAGACGAGGATCACCTCTCTAGCCACTGCTTGAGCTCAGAGCTGGGCTTCAGACCCCAAGAGAAGCTGGAGGTAGGAGGCTGGCTGGGGTTGACATGTCCACCTTGGTGTCTCTCCTTGAGCCTCAGCTAGTACTTTCTGCCTGTACTTGGCTTTCTGACTTGGTCTTCTTTTGTGTCTCTTCGCCCTCCTGACAGGTGACAATCCTGCTGTACCTGGCAGAAGTGATGGTTCGGCTGACTTGGCACCAGGCCATGGATCCTGACAACCACTGCATCCCCTACCTTACAGGGCTGGGGGACCTGCTCGGTACTAGCCTCCTGGCACTCTGCTTTTTCACTGACTGGCTACTGAAGAGCAAAGCAGAGCTGGGTGACATCTCAGAACTGGCATCTGGACCTCCCTAACTGGGCCCTGCTGGTCCCATTTGCTCATTAGAATTTCCTCTCACATCAGTGGGGTACAGAATTCAGTTTCTCCCTTCCCAGGTCCTTGGGATGGTTGACCCCTGCCTCTGCAGTAGCCTTTTGTGAGTCTGCTAAGGTAGCTCTCACACACCTCGGCTCTGGGGTTGATACCTGAGCCCGCAATAGAGCCCTGAAATCGAGAGCACAGCTTGAGTGTGTGAATATGTGTGCACATGCTTAATGAACATGTTTGAGTGTGCACACGTTTGTGGAAAGGAGGATAGTCTGGCCTGAGAAGCTAAAAAAGAGGCATGTCCAGTATGCTTTGCAGGATGTGTTTGCTCCTTTCCATTCCCATGCAACCCAGATTGGGGTGGAGCAGGAAGGAGCTCCTTTCTGTTCCCAAGCCTCAGGACTCTTGAGCTGTGGCTTACTTGCTGGTTCAAGCTCCGTGGGCCACACTGCTGCTGTGCCAAGAAGGTGTACAGCCTCCTCAGGATGGGGCCTTGTACAACCCTTCATCTGTGCTCAACATTTAATTGTGTCCTAGCTGTCTTTTTATTTTCCTTTTTACTTGTTAGCAAAAACCTCTATTTAGATTTCAGTAATCAGAGAAGTGTAAAATAAAACATTATATTGTACTTGACTTTTTATGTCTTTAAAGATAGTTAATGCAACCCTGAGGCTTGGGGTCTATAAATAACAAAAGCATCTGGCACTTCTCTAGTTCAGTTTTTCTCAAAGTGGTCTTCAGCCTAGAAACATCAATGTCACCGCAAAACTTGTTAGAAGTGCAAATTATTATCCCTCACCCCCAGGCCTGACCAGCCAAATCAGCATCTCTTGGGAGTAGAGCCAGCTATATGGGTTCCACAAGCCCTCCAGGTTTCTCATGCACACCCATGTTTGAGAACTACTACTCGAGAACATCATCTTTAAAAAATGTATGATCGTTTCCTGTCTCTTACTCGCTCATCAGGACAGTTGTAGCTGTGCTTGGGCCTGAGGGTTATTATCTTCATGTGGTAAAACAGACATCTCTTCATTTATTCAACAAATGTTGATATAGAACCTCTTGTTATCAGTGTTCTAGAAGGAAAGACATAGTGCATTAACTGGAGTAATTGAAGAGAGTTTAAGGAAGGCACAGTTTATAGGTGCATGGGGACCAGAAGAAGGGGCGAAGCATCCTGGGGCCAGGCACTACCAGACATTCACCTGTCCTGGAGAATAGTTGGGATTGTGGTTGCCTGAGATGCATGGGGATCTCTAATAAAGAGACACAGCTACATCAGCTTGTGGCCTGGCAGAGAAAGCCAGGGAAATAAATATCCCAATCTCATTCTCTGTCCACCCTATTATCTCCTGCCAGTGTCTCCCATTGGCCATACCCAACCAGAAGTTCAATGACTGGGGAGCCATCTGACAATCCACAGAGGTTTCAGCCTCCTGGGGCACAGAGCCAGGGAGGCTGGGGATAGATCTGGAGAAGCAACTGGAGAATATTCAGCACAACTATGTGCCAAGCTCCAGGCTAGATACTGGGGACACACTTGTGGGCAAAGAACTCATCATCACTGGTTCAAGTCCCTACTGGGAGAGACAGTCATCAACATCACACAAGTATTGAAAGTCCAGCTCTGATAAGTCCTGCAAAAGACAAGCATGTGATGTTATTGAAGCATGTAATGACAGCTAAGATCTATCAAGCACCTTCTGTGTGTCTGGTTGTGTTCTAAGCATTTGACGTGTAAACTCTGATAACCTCACAATAACCGATGCAGTACATACCACTCCCATTTGTAGATGACTGCAGCATTGTAAGGCTTCTTAACGTTACCAAGACCCTATATGGCTAGTGAGTAGTGGACTGAGGATTTGAACAGACATTTGGGCTCAGACCCAAGTGATGTGTGTGCTAAAGAGGTTTGATCAACACAGTGTTACAAGATACTTGAGGTATTGCTTTTCCAGCCAGAAACCTCTGTGGCCAGTGGTGCCTTTGCCTGAGTTTTGCTCAGGCCCGCTGGGCTTGTTCTATCCACTCGGCCTGGCAGGCTGCACTCAGCTCACACTACCAGCCTGGGATCCCACACCTGCCAGGGGTGAGCCAGGCATGGAGTAATGAGGGGTATGTGAGTAAGTGAGCATGAGGTCCAGCCACTGCACACAGCCAGGCATTCCAGCTGCTGTGGTGGGGCAGGCAGCTCCAGGCACTGGCACAGGCGCTGGCTCCATGCAAGGCTGCAACTGGATCAGATGTACCACAAGCAGCTTCCACTGCAGTCACCCACATCTGGACAAGGGGAACATGGTGGTGCCCAGAAGCTTGGAGACACCAGGAACCGCAGAGCCCCAAAGAGGGTGTCACAGCTCTGGCTTGGGGAGCTCCAAGGTCTGGGCTCCCAGAAGGGCTGCAGCTCTTCTCTCCTTCTCATCGCCTGCAACATGGCAAGCAGGGGACATGTTTCAGCCCTGTTGTTATAGCTCTTTCAGTCTCGCCATTGAGCATGTCCCGAGTTCTTGTCCTGCCTTCAGGAGGAATGAGGTATGCAGACAGCTGAAGGGTGAGCAAGACAGAGGGGAGCTTCACCAAGTGACAGTACAGCTCTCAGGAGACCCAGAGTGGGTAGCTGTTTTCCACAGGCAGGTCATCCCAACAAGTGTGAGGCTGGCTGAGTCCAGGGTTTTTAATGGGCACAGAAGGGAGGAAGTGCATGCTGATTGGTCCGTGAGTGGCCACAGGTGGGGGTGGAAAAAGCACCATAAGTTTTCACTCCAGGCTGCAAACTCCACCCTGAACTGGCACCTGGCCCCCAGGCTTCAGGCCATTCCTGGATCGAAGTGGGGATTTCAACAGGGCCCCGCCCCTTTCTGCCCAGGAACCTGTCTGCCTCCTGCTACCGACATGCTGTCCGTGGTGCCCAGGCTGTGTCAAAGGGCACCCGCAGGCCTGTGCCAAGCTGCCCCTAACCACCTCCCAGCCTCCCTCCCAAAGGAGGGGACCCAAAGTTGGCACCCAAAGTCCAGAAAGGGCTGAGGCGGTGGTGGGGTGGGCATGTCAGCGCCGCCCTGAGTGCACACAAATTCAGGCGGGTCCCGACAGCATCTAGGCTTGGCTTCCATTTTATTCTGAAATTATAGTGGGTGCCAGGAGCAGTGAGAGGCCAGGGAGTGGAAGCAGGCAATTCTGAGCCTGCAGGGGTAAGGGGGCTTCTGGGGCCCTGAGAGCACAGGGATGCCTGAGTCCGCAGCCACGGCTAGGTGGCTGCAGCGGTGCCCAGGAGCGCAGGGCTCCTGCCCCACCAATTCAGTAGGGCATGGGGCCCTCGCCTGTTCCTGGCTCCTGCTGGCCCCATGGAGTGTGCAAACCCAGCCATGTCTCCCCCACTGCAGCTGGCATATTCACATCCACTGCTCCAGATGGGCCGCCTCTGCCATCAGTCCCCCTCTGAAGAGGTACATCTGCCATTAGGATAGGGACGATGACTGTTAACTGCTTCATGCTGACAAAGGGCATTGTTTTGGGAAAGTCGCAGTCAGAGATTCTCTCAGAGGCCTATCTAGGGTCCCAGTTAAATGGAGCCATTGTCCGAGGCTCCCTTTGAATGACCATTTGGACTTTGATGGCCTGAAGGTGAGAAGAGACAAACCAGGTTATTAGAAGACATGGATCAAAATGAAACGAGGGACATTTCAAAGGTAGGGACAGCTCAGAAATCCTGAGGCTGCCAACATGCCCAGATAACTGGTGGCTATAATTGTGCCTACTAAGATTTGGGTGCGTGGGGTATGACTCCAGTTAGCTCCTTTTGTCTTACTTTCCCCAAAAAGGAAACCTCTGGGTTATGGGCATCCCATTTACCCAGATAATGATCTGGCATGATTTGCAGGATAATTGCCCAGAATTAGAGTATTGATCCAGATTTTTACATTACTCATCCCTTTTGTAGCTTCTGTGCTGCAGCCAGAGTTCAAGTTCAAAGTCATGAGAATGTGGGCCTTACATGACAGAAATGTTCATTAGAAATGAGAAGTACATCTGTATTAGTGTCAAGGTGAAAACGAAAGTAAAATTCAAGCTCAGTTTCAAGGTCTAGGTCAAGTTAAAGGTTAAGTTCTAGGAAATTTCAAGCTTGAATATCAGTCAGGAGCAATATGAAGGTTAAGGTAAAATTAAAGGCCAAGGTCTAAATCAAGTTCAAGTTCAAAATCAGAGCTACACGCCGGGCGCGGTGGCTCAAGCCTGTAATCCCAGCACTTTGGGAGGCCGAGACGGGCGGATCACGAGGTCAGGAGATCGAGACCATCCTGGCTAACACAGTGAAACCCCATCTCTACTAAAAATACAAGAAAATTAGCCGGGCGTGGTGGCAGGCGCCTGTAGTCCCAGCTACTCGGGAGGCTGAGGCAGGAGAATGGCGTAAACCCGGGAGGCGGAGCTTGCAGTGAGCCGAGATCGCGCCACTGCACTCCAGCCTGGGGCACAGAGCAAGACTCCGTCTCAAAAAAAAAAAAAAAAAAAAAAAAATCAGAGCTACACTTGCTCTGCATGTGAAGTGGTCTAAGGGTTTACATCAAAATCAAGGAGAAATTTAAGGTACCAGTCAACTTCAAGTTTGCACATAAGGCTACATCTGGTAGATGATAGTAACAAAAGGATAGGAAGAAAGCCTTAACAGGTCAATAAAAGATCAAAATCAGTGCCAAAGTCAAAGTCAAGATTATTTTCAACTTCGCAATTAGTGCTACATATGATCTGTTTATTGTCCAAAAACAGGATGTTAGAACCACAGCAAAGCTCAAGGTCAAGATTAGTGTCAAAGATTAAGTTCAAAATTTATGCTAGACATGGCCTAGACATAAGGTGGGAAACAGGATTTTGTTTGAGTTGAGATCAAGTCAAGGTCAAGGTAAAATCTGAAGTCAGCATCGAAGGGAAGATCAACACCAATGTCATACAAAAATCAAAATTGAAATAAAAATCAAGGCCAAGTTCAAGTAAATGTGAAAGGAATGTCATCTAGATGGTGGAGAATGAGTGTGCAAAGAGTGTCAAGTACACAAAATTTGGTGTCACAGAAGTTAAAGGTAGATGAGAGAACAAATAAGCAAAAAGCGATTGCTGGATTACACAGTAAGTGTACATGAGTGGAGGTTCAATAGCACATAGTAAGTTTGACAGGATTTGTTGAATGACACAGTGAATGTGGAAAGAGTAGAAGTTGTAAGGTGCTGAAGGAGTTTATTATTATTATACTTTAAGTTCTAGGGTACATGTGCATAATGTGCAGGTTTGTTACATATGTATACATGTGCCATGTTGGTGTGCTGCACCCATTAACTCGTCATTTACATTAGGTATTTCTCCTAATGCTATACCTCCTCCTGTCCCCCACCCCATGACAGGCCCCCGTGTGTGATGTTCCCCACCCTGTGTTCAAGTGTTCTCATTGTTCAATTCCCACCTATGAGTGAGAACATGCGGTGTTTGGTTTTCTGTCCTTGTGATAGTTGGTTGAGAATGATGGTTTCTAGCTTCATCCATGTCCCTGAAAAGGGGTGGTGGTGCATGCCTGTAGTCGCAGCTACTAGGGAGGCTAAGGTGGGAGAATCACTTGAGCCCAGGAGGTAGAGGCTGCAGTGAG